AGATTCTCACTTTTGATGGGAGTAATTATCTCGATCAATTTCCAAATCTTCCTCCGCTTGGAGACATCAAGATCAAATGCTAGCATAATTACAATTAAATTCTACTGTCGAAGTTCATAAAATATTAATGACACCCTAAGGTCTATGTGTTGTTTGTACACCTATTCACTTTACGAGCTTCTTCTTTTTTTAAAACAAAAAAAAAAAACTATTTCTGGAATTGTCCCGGGTAAATAGCGAATTTTTCCTTCACGTCATTTTGATCTTAGATTTATGCAACGATGTCCTTCTCTTATGAGCACTGATGCAAAATTGTCAATAGTGATACGTTGCAAAATTTTCTTAGGTAGAGAATGTGTGTGTGTGTTTCTGCAGATTGCCGAGGGAAAAACAATTGCGGAGTGGTAAAAGCCGTTGGTGAGCCTTTGGCAAGAGTCTTGGTATTTCCCTCCCCTAGTTTCAATCCCACATCGATTCTTAGTGGTGTGCGTGTGTTCTACTTAAGGTCTTCGATGTAGCCTGAAAATCAGCATGCCTTTTGGGTTAGGTCGTGGGTTCTCCTTAGGTAGAGTGTGTGTGTGTGTTTCTACAGGTTGCTGAGGGATACGTTATTAATTTGTTCCCATCATTTGTTGCTAATTCAGCAAAAAGGTAGCCTGATATCTTGAATGATAAGAAACAAACCCCATGGTTTTGCAGTCCAAAATTATTTGAGAGATGATTTGTGTAGGAAAGCAAAACCAAGCTTGAGTGTTTTATTCATTTCATATAGTTAGTTGATGCGATTTGTTGTTATTTGGTTGGTTTGTTTAGTTAGGTTTAAAAAAACTCAACCCCCGTTACACTATTGTTCACATCGACTTTTAATCATCAAACAATTTTTTTTGTCACAAATTAGCCATTAAATTAACTAATCAGCACACATGTGGCCATTTTGTTGATTATTGCTTTTAATCTACAAAATAATTAGAACATGTGTCAATATGCCAGGATATATATGTCTACCATGAGTATTTTTTGTCAAAATATGATTTTCATTATTTTGTAGATTAAGAACAATAATCGACTCAATGGTCACGAATGTGTTTATTAATTAGTTTAGTGATTAATTTATGACAAAAAATTGTTCGATGAGATAATAGTTTAATGGCCATTAGAATTTTTTGTCCGTTTAGTCATTATTATGTTTCGGGGAGTGAAGTATAGGGATTATTTCCCATGCTAATTGTACTACTAGTCAAGTTAGCAGGGTGCCCCACCTGGACATCTCATTTGGTCACGAAAGTTCTTCAGTGACCGTTGTCCATTTTTTCCATCAGGGATCGAGTCCCAAGATTAACGTGCCAAGGGGATGGGCATCTTCTTTCGGGTCGGGGAGATTAGTCGGGCCCGATCTACCCGATGACCCGGATAACACCTCTGTCTTGAAAAAAAAAAAAAAAAAAAGTCAAGTCAACAGGGTATTAGTAGAAAGCTTTTTGTCCGTTGGATTGTGGAATGTACAGTGGAGTCGGCCTCTTTGTTTGTTTCTTGTGTGTTGAGTCTGTTGACCCCAAAGCCTTGCCTCTGTTTAGATATCTCAATTTTTGAAAAATAAAATTTTCATATATAATATATATACAAATAAAAATTATTCCAAAAACATCATATTAACAATTCAAAAAACATCATATCCATCTAATATATAAAAAATAACTTTAAATATACACAAAAAAAGAACACCACCACCACCACTACCACCCCATCATTCCTCACCACCACCCCCCACACGTATGACCCTCCCTTCTCTTGCTTATCTCTCTCTTTCTCTCTCCCTCCTCCCTTCCTCCCATATTTTGTTTTTCTCTCATCCTCCTTTCTTTCTCCTCCTTTTTGTCTTTCTCCTTTCTCTCTTCTTTTTCCTCGCCCTAATTCCCTCTTCCCTCTATTGATTGCAACCTATCTAGTCGTGACTAGAAGGTCACGGTCAAAAGCCGCGACTCATGGCTTTTGGTCGCTATCTTTCCGGTAGCGACCAAGAAGGTCGCGACTAGAGTGGTGGTTAGAATCGCAACCACCACTCGCGAGTGGGAGAGGGTTTTGGGGTTGGGGTAAAGGAGGGGAGAAGAAAGAAGGGAGAAGAAAGAAAGGAGAGGAAAGAGGGAGGGGGCGGTGTAAATTAAAAAAAATCCCAAAAAAGTTATAAATTATAAAGATGCCCTAAAATATATTTTAAAAATACCTCTAAAAACAATCTAAAAAATATCAACAGTAAAATTTTTTTATATACACAGTTACAGTAAATTTTTTAAAAAACACACCAAAAAACATCTAATCCAAACAGAGTCAAGTAATAGAAGAAATTTCCTTTGCCTCCTGTTACCACTAACACACATAAAACATACACAATTTCTTCCCTTTTATTTTTTAGTTAATTTTGTATATTGTGATGGTGTATACATTATCATCATTGAATGCATGATATATATGTCAAATTTAAATTAATTTTTATACATTAATATTTTATTTATTTATTTTCACAAACAATACCTTAGATGAAAGTTTTTTTTGAAGGATTAGATGAAATATTTCATCCGGTGAAAATGATTGAATGCTTCAAGCGCGTCATGGTGACAGTGGAGAAGGAGGAGAAAAGAGAGAGGGAGAAAAATGAGGGAGGAGGTGGTGATGACTGGTGTAAACTTTTTAAAAATATTTAAAAAATTCCAAAAAAAATCCTATGCTAATTCTAATACTAGTGAAGTCCACAGGGTATTAATATTAAGGGATAATTTTAAAAATCTCCCCTGAGGTTTCTGACAATTTCACTGAGCTCTCCTGAGGTTTGAAAAATTATACATACATCTCTCATCATTTAAAACTACAATTTTACCCTTAAATATTTTAATGAAATTCCCTTATTTGGCATGCTTATACTTAAAATAAGTTTTAAAATTATTTTTCCATTCTTTTTCCTTCTCATTCTTTTTTTTTTTTAGTTTTTAGGCAATAAAACTATAGAACTACAACTATTACCTTTAATTTTTATTATAACAAAATGTCGAACTAGTGATTTTTTTGACCAATTAATTTTATATGTAATCCAATGTTTTTGCTAATCTTTGTTTTCTATTTTTGGGTATTAAAATTAACAATAAAAAAAATGTCCCAAAACCACTATTAAATTATGATAATCCAACAATTCGAAAATTTTATAAAATCTAAATGAATTATTTCAGCATTTTCCTTTTCTATTTTATAAATCTAAATCGATAATAAAATATCATAAAAAGTATCATACCATAATAATAAAATTATTATTATAGTTGTTTATCAAATAGTAGAAATTGACATAAAAAACTTAGCAACTTTGCCTTATAATTATACTAAAAATCATATAATTATACAGGAAAATAAATTAAAACTCATTATACAAGAGTATTTTTGGGTATTCATTTAAAAAGCTGACCAAATCAAATACTATTTTAAGATTTTATTACTAAAATTATCAAATTAAGGAAAGTAAGTATAATTTTTTAAACTTTAGAGGAATTCAGTGAAATTATTAGAAACCTTAGGGAGGTTTCTGAAATTATCCCTAGTACTAAAGTCCGTCCGTCTGGATTGTGGAATGTACAGTGGAGCCGCGTAAGGCTTAAGAATTAGTAGCCGCTCTGCTCGTTTGTTATGTATTGACCTCGAAGCCTTGTCATGAATCATGAGTAGAGGGGTCAAAATAGGTAGTTTGAGTGGGTTTGGGTTGGGTAAAATGAGTAATGAGTATAAGTGAATCAACTCATTTATATCCATTTAATTAGACGGGTATAAATAGGTAAGTCAAAAAATGAATTGGTAACCCAATTACCCATTTATAACCTATTTATTTTAACTTTTTACAAACACATTTAAATTCATTTTTACAAACTAAGTTATCAATTTATACCACTCTTTGTACCCATCATTAGTTTTAAATATTTACTTATAATGTTCAATAAACTTAATTACCAATTTTTTTTCATTTATACTCTATGTCACAAAATTACCTATTATTTAATAATTGAATAATAATAATATAAAAATTTGAACTAAGTACTATAAAAATTAATATAAAAACTTAATCCAAAAATTTTGAACCCTAACATTTTTTTCATATATAAATTTAAAATTTCATTTTATAAAGATAAGAAAATAGGCTAAAATTTATCATAAATTGGTAATGCTAAAAAATGAACAAGTTAACAAACTAAGAGAAAATAAAATAATAAGATAAAACCAACAAATAATAATAATAATAATAAAACAAAAGTAATTAACATTATGACAAAATGAAAATTTTGAAAAAAAAAAGGTGGGGGAAAAGAAGAGAATTGGGGGGAAGAGAATTCTAAATGGGTTAATTGAATTTGATGGGTTACCCAATAAATGGGTGAAATGGGTATTATTGGGTAACCCATATACAAAAATTTAAGATATTCATACCCATCTATTTATGGACAGGTGTGAGTAAATTTAGTTAAGTGAGTTGATTTGCCACCTCTACTCATGAGTAATCGAAGAAATTTCCGTTGCCTTCTATTGCCACTATCACACGCAAACATACACAATTTCTTCTCTCTTATTTTTTTAGTTAATCTTGTACATAATGACGATGTATATTTTATAATCATTGGATGCATAACATATATATTAAATTTAAATTTAGAATTGTTTTTATACATTACATTTTATTTGTTTATTTTTACAGATAGTACCTTAGATGAATGAATTTTTTTTGGAAGGATTAGACGAAGGATTCATCTAGTGAAATGATTGAATGCTTCAAGCACGTGATGGTGACGGCAGGGGAAGAGGGGAGAAGAGAGGAGGAAGGGGGAGGTGGAGACGGTGGTAGCGATTGTGAGTGATGTAAACTTTTTAAAAATGCTTCAAAAATTCAAAAATTTTAAAATATAAAAATAGCTAATTCGAACCGAGTTTTAAAAAAAAAAAAAAAAATCAGATGAAAGATTTCATCTTGTAAGATGACCGAATGCTTCAAGCGCGTGTGGTCCACATTCTTCACTGCAACGCCTCCAGCTCAGAAATCAGATGTTGTTAACATGCCAAAACACGCTTTTGCCTTCTAATTTGTATTTTCATCTTTCTTCGTGAGAGTTGAATGATCCAGACGCCTTTCTTTTCCACTTTCCCAGTTTCCAATTCCATCATCAAATTGACCTGAACTATGAAGAGTTTCACTGCTCCGCCATAGCTCTTAGCTCCGCCTTCTTCTTATTATTCTTCACCACCCTCGTCTCCTCCTCCTCCTCCTCCTCCTTCCACCCAATCGATCATTACCTCATCAGCTGCGGCTCCCACGAGCCCTCCATCATCGACCTCGACCACCGCCGCTTCACGGGCGACTCCTCCACCTCAGCCTCCCGATTCTTTACCACCCCTTCAACCGGACTATTCCACTCACCAACTCCGACCCGCTTCTTCCAATTCTTCTCCTCTCTACCGCACTGCCAGAGCCTTCAGCAGTCCCTGCAAGTACAGCTTCCCAATTCAGGACCACCGCGGGGGGACCCACCACTTGGTACGCCTTCATTTCTCTCCTTTCTTTAATTCCACTTCTTTCGACTTCTCCGCTGTTCAATTCCACGTTTTGGCAAATGGGTTCTTGTTGTTACGCGATTTTAGCATCCAGAATTCCCCGAAAGACGGTATAGTAATCAAGGAGTATATCATAAGGGTTGATTCCGATAAGCTTGATATTACGTTTGTGCCAAAGAAAAGATCGAATTTTGCCTTTGTCAACGCAATTGAAGTGATTTCTGCACCCCATGACTTGGTCGCTGACGTAGCCCAGTTTGTAAATTCTGAGAAAAATGAGAGGATTAATGGATTGTTGAACAAAGGGTTCGAAACTGTTTATAGAGTGAATGTAGGAGGTCCAAAGGTGACACCTTTCAACGATTCTCTGTGGAGGACTTGGGTCCCTGATGGTGAATTTTTGGAAAAATCCGGTCATGAGGGCTCCTTGGAAATCCACTTCAGTGGCCGGATTCAGTATCAGATGGCGGGGCAACGCGTGAAGTTGGGCCGGACAATGTTTATAACTCAGCCCGGGTGATTAAGAGCTCGAATAATGTCATTCCCAAGTCGAACATAGCCTGGGTGTTTCCAGGGATTGAGGGTTACAAGTACTTGGTTCGGATGCATTTCTGCGATATAGCAAGCATTGGGCCTTATATGCTTTACTTTAATGTTTATGTAAATGGGAATTTGGCATATGAGGACTTGGATTTATCAGCAATGACAAACATGTTGCTTGCTTCGCCTTTCTATGCTGATTTTGTAGTGGAAGGGTTGAATTCCGAATCATTGAACGTTAGTGTTGGCCCGTCCAATATGAGCTTGACCAATGCTGTTGATGCTATCCTCAATGGGGTTGAGGTCTTCAAGATAAGCAATTCACTGGGTAGTTTTGATGGCGAGCTCTGTGTTGAGTCAGTTATGAAGAGCTGGAGAAGAGGAAATGCCGTTGTCATAGTGCCTTTACTAGCGGCAGTGTTTTTGTTGCTAACTGCATCCGTGGTAGTGCAAAGGAGGAGGTCTGGAGGCAGGGACACAGTGGGATGGCTTAAGGTTACCTGTGGGATGTCTCTGAAATTAATCTGAAGTATGGCAGCCAACAGTCATCTGGTAAACTCTGATGCCCTTGTGGGCCTAGTGAGTCCTAAATCAAGTACCTTATATAACCCTGAAGATCTTAAGGACTGGTATATGAAACGTCTTCATGGCTTTTTGTTTCTCTTGTTCTTGTGAGAACTTTTATTTATACAGAGGAGCTGTAGATTTGTCTAAAATTCAAACTGTACTCCACTCAGTGTTGAGATATTTAACATATTTGTATACTTTCCGGGAATGATGTCTATGCTTTGTACTCAATAGCTTATTTGTTGGAAATTACCTTTACCTATGAGTGTTCAAGCAGTTTTGGAAAAGGAAACTTCATTGCTTTTATTAATCCTGTGAATCAGTATATTTTTTTTCTAGTGTGGTGCAATCGATGATGCATTTTTTGATGCCTCTTCTTTTGGAGTGGTTGCTGTGTTTTCTTTATGTTTGGTTTTCTAGCGGAAATCAGTTTGCACTAATTGCTGTGTAGAACCTTAATGAAGTGTGATGTGAATTATGGTTCCTTATTGATCTTGGTCCGATAGGCTTTTGGCTTTGTTCTCTGCTGATGGTTTGACAATCTTTATGGTTCAATTGCTTCGAATATGGTCGAGATTTGGCATGGTATATAGACTACAGTAGATCTCCTTCTCCGTCTTTACGTCAGCATCACCAGTAGTAGTTGCAAAAGTTTTTAGATCTATGTCATCATGATTTATGAAAGAGGATCACACCTTAGCATAATGGAACATTTTAGACCAAAAGATAAACATTGGTAGCATGCATTATTTGCGTCATATGTTGTGGTTCTGGAAGAAGAAGGGCTGCTGCTGTGGACTTGCTACAGACTAGTTCAATGCTAGATATACTTTGAAGTAACTAAAGACTAGAGACAGAGCCATGCTTGCAAGTTATACCTACATCACAGATATCCTGTTCTGGAATTGGAACTGCAAGATCTCCTCAGTGTTTTTGTTTGTTTAGTGAGTGACAGATGGCAGGAGGTTCTTTTTCATCTTTATGTAGCTCTGCTCTAGTCATTTGCTTCTAGTTATGGACTACTTTGCATGTAATCAATCCCTCGACACATGGTTCTAGTTATTCTTGCTTGCCATGTAAAAATATTCAGCTTGCATGGTGGGATTGCGCCAATTTGCCATCTGATATGCTAAACTAGCACATGTTTCGTCGTTTTCAATTTTCTCCCGTGTTTCAAGATCCACGCGACAGGGTAGTCTGCCACAAATTTTCTTTCCTTCTTGTGTTAGTTTGGATATCTTTTTCAAAAAAATCTTTGTTGAACTCTTTTTCATTCATTTTAGTCTTCATCTTACTTCGAGGATAATTGAATAGATTGTCCTAATTTCCCCAACTCCTAACAACGTTGATGCTGATTCAGAAGCTCATTTTCAGCACAAAGAATCAGATATGAGGTTGTAAACAGATGTTGTTTCAGGTTTAAGAGCCGGTCTGCATTTTCGAGTCCATCAGTTTCAGTGGGTGAATCGACAATCTTGTAGAATGTGGCTGGCAAAATTGAAACTTTCCTGGAGGCCCCTGAGTGGGTCCTTCATTTTCCTTCTTGTTTGCCTCTATGGTTAGACCCAGGCCCAGCCTGCAAACTTAAATGCGGATGGGGACTCAAAAAGCGGAACTGTGGGGAAAATGATATGTACTCACCTGGCTATTGGAACGCTGGCCGAACAATTATTGGGCTCGCGCCTTTTAGATGCGGGAACACATTAGAATATTAGATCATCATATTTGGACTATGATTTTAGGGATAATTTTAGCAATAAAGAAATAATCAAAGAGTGATCAGTCTATTTTCAATGAAATGAACTTAAAATTCTAGTACTTAATTTGTTGACTTCTTAACTAGGGATATTAGGTGAGCGCGATGCCAAACCATTGATCATGAGCTATTGATTTCTTTCTCCTTCGATCGTGCTTGCAAGATACGCTTATTTCAAAACTACTAATACGAAATTAATGGCGTTTGGGTTGAGATTCATGGTTTGGGTCAGAATTGAGTCGAACTCGATGAATCCGAAAAAGGTTGAATTCCGGTCATTCACGGCGTTGACCTGATAATCCATTTATGAATTAAAAATAATTTAATAAATATAAAAATATATTATCTAACTAAACTAAGTTATTCTTTTTTTTTTCCAAAGACATTAACACTTAATTCTAAATGAATTGTTTAACTTGTGTGAAGTTGAAATTATTATATTTGGATAAATGATATATAACATTATTTTCTATTTTTATAGTATCTTAATTTATTTTAGATCTGGTTTGGGATTAAAATACTTTACAGTGTTTTAATTTATTTCAGATCTGGTTAGGACATTGTTTTATCGAGATTTTTATTATTTGATAATGTAATTAGTCTTGTGAGAAATTGGTTTATGTTACAAATTACACTGGTAAATTAGTAAATTAAAATTATATTTTAGATCATTCGGGTTGACCTGTTAATCCAAAATTTCGGGTTCGGATCAGGTATCTTGACCCATTTTGAATTGGCAAGTTGTATTCGGGCCAGCAAGTTATCTATTATATTCAAGTCTCAATCCGATCCGTCAATCCACTTCCGACCCAATTGCCACCTCTAAAAAAAGTGAATACATATCTCTCTAAATATAATGCAAGAGTCAATGTTAAAAAATAGAGTGTCATTATTTGTTATTCCAATTTCCAAATGTACCATTCCAAGATTTAGCATGATACATCCATACCTCATCTGTCAAATTTCACACTGCTAATTCACCGCTGCCACTATACTCTTCCTATAATTGTACCACTATATTCTTCCCAAGTCTAAGCCTATACCATTCAATAGCCTACTAAACATTCAAAAACCACCAATATCATTCTTTACTTTTTCTAATTAGAAAAGCAAATAGATAAATTGACATTTCACCCTAATAAATAACAAAAATACAGAAGACATATATATAATTTTACCATTAAAAACGTATATATTCGAATTGACTTGACAAGCTGATGAACCGAGTACTAATGTATTTGATTTGATTCGACTAACTTGTCAAACTAGCTCGAATTCGATTAGAACTCAATAATATTGGACGAGGGAAAATGGCCAATTTAGTCCCTATACTTTTTTTACTGTCAATTTAGTCCTTATATAATTTTTTTGGCCAATTTAAACTCTATACTTATTTATCGGTTCCAATTGAGGAGCTCCGCGGCGGCGCCACCTTATAATTGTGATTCAACGTCTAATTGAGCACTTATGCGGGGGCATTTCTGGTACTTCACTATTGGGACTCCTTTTCAGAAGTAAAAATCAAAACCAAAAAGTTACCGGTGCAATTTCCCCTCCTCCACTCCCACCTCCACCCATTGGACTCCGAAGACGGGAAGATGTCCGGCATATTCCGGTACAAAACCTGTGGCTAGGAGGGTGTGAAACCGTAACCGCAACAAGATCATTCGCTCTTGCCATTTCCAGGGCCAATGGACATCAACTGTTTCAATAAATGTTCAAAGTACATCATTCGAGACCACTTTGGTCCTGCATCATAATCTTGCCTAAGGAGAGGATGCACTAAAGGAATGGCTCTTAAAACAGCATATGCAAACTTAAGCTCTTCAAGAGTAGGATTTCTGAACTGAAGTTCAACAGATGACGTGCAGCGAACAACATCAATAACCGGAAATCGATCAGTACCCGAGACCTCCAAAGCTAATGACTTTATCATTCTCTTATTTAAAGGGAACATGATTGACTCCAGCTCATAAGTCACCCTCAAAAGCTCAGTGTTTGGAACTCGAATAGTCTCCCTACAAGCAGTCATTTTTTTGCATCATCATGAGCCCTGAACATGTAAATCCCTATATCCCCACCATTCCCACCAATAAACTGAACACAAGGAAATGGCTGTTTTCTGCTAGACCAGTTTGAATCCTTCCCCACCTTTATACCAAACAAATGCTCTGGGCGCAACCACTTCCATGGATCAGTCCTGTACAAAGCGGCGGCAGTTCTGTACAGAGACTTAATAAAAGGTGGAGTAATGCCATCCACCTTCAACAAACATGCTCCTGATCCAAGACCAAGTCCTGGGCCACACCCAAATTGTTCTTGATATCTAGTAAACAAATTCTTCAAATGCATATCCACAGTAACTTCCCCACACCCGCAGAACAGATCTACCAAACTTCTTGAAAACCCACAAACAATTTAGACCTCCAAGTCTAGCAATTTAACTCGGCATATCAGTTCCATCAGAATTTCCAACTGAAAGGGATTTGGAGGATGAAAGGGAGAGTGTGGTAATCTTTGGGGCGAGGGAACGGAGCTTGGTTTTGTACCGGAATATGCCGGACATCTTCCTGTCTTCGGAGTCCAATGGGTGGAGGGGGAGTGGAGGAGGGGAAATTGCACCGGCAACTTTTTGGTTTTGATTTTTACTTCTGAAAAGCAGCCCCAACAGTGAAGTACCTGAAATGCTCCGCATAAGTGCTCAATTAGACGTTGAATCGCAATTACAAAGTGGTGCCGCGCGGAGCTCCTCAATTGAAACCGATAAATAAGTATAAGGTTTAAATTGGTCAAAAAATTATATAAGGACTAAATTAACAGTAAAAAATAGTATAAAAACTAAATTGATCATTTTTTCTATTGGATGAACCAGCATCTAGTTTCGATCCAGTCGAATCGCGAGGAGGCCAAACTCAGTTTGCAATCCTAGTCCTAGTGCGACCATGTTGATCGTTGGCGGCTGCTGCTGCCACGAGGGTCCGTTGATTTCCGCACGAAACCTGGCTAGGTTCCCAAGATTTAGCAACTATGATTAGAAACGTCACTGAATTCCCGGAGGATGGAGCGTAGATGCCTTTTTGCTGTGGAAATCCTGAGGCATCACTTCCACTTTCAAAGTGACGACTGACAACATACAATCATCACAGTGTCCTTATGCAATGCTGGCATAGGCAGATGTAGCAATTATTTCAGGGCATTTAATTAA